CTACATGTGAGAGAATGGGTCTGCGTGGTCAGTGTGCACAGTATAAAAAAAAATCCTGCAGCACGCAGTTCATGAGAAAAAAAAAACTCTGACCATGTTTTTGGTTAAAAACGCTGACTTTGAGGTGTATTTTCGTATGGTATTTATGGTTGTATTCTTGTTTTCTTGGTCTCATTTCATACAACTGAAGATTTATTACAGAAATAGAGATGATTTTGATTGCTTTCATGATGAAAAGTACCTTGAAATTGAACTCAAAGTAGCGGAAATGTTCGATTTTTGCCATGTTCAAGAGTTAACAAATGATGTCACCGTCCAGTGTGTGTCCAATTGGCCATTCTAATACACAGGTCACAAATGGGTTGACATTATTTATACAATTATTACAATAATGCAGTAGTCTGCCTAACAGTAAATCTTTATTTTTTGTGTGAATCAAAATTCACAATGGAAAGCAAGAGTAACATAAGAGGGGCCTGAAAACATGACTAATGAGCAGAGAAAATGTTATTTAAAGTGCCAAGAATGTCTGCATTGTTTATTCTTGACCCTATTTTGAAATTGACACCTTTTGAAATTTGTGTGAAATTGCCCAAATTGCCAATTTCTGGCCACTTTACTGGGTAGCTGAAATCGGCAAATGGGCGGTTTCTTGTATTCAGTCGATAGAACAAATGTAGTTCTAGCAAAATAGCTATGATTTTGGGTGACTGAAATAATGGAATTGGCTGAAAATTGGCCTCAAAGTGGGCGAAATTGCCGATGCGTATATATTGCCGAGACCACTAACTTCACAAGAGCACAATTCAGTAAGTTTTCCATTAAATTTCGTACTTTGGTGTCATTACCAAGGGAAAAAATTTCTTTATCATTTCATGAGAAAAAAAAATCATTGGGGGGGGGGGGGATTTCTGACACCAAGAACAAGTTTGTGATCAGGGGTCTCGACAGTGAAAGGGTTAATATGAAAAAATTCTAGTATCTAGTAAATTTCTAACACACTTTTGTCTTATTTTCAAATTTACAACTGTACAGTGGACCCCTGGTTTTTAGCCGGTGCAGAAATCGTACAATTCGGATTTCGAGCACATTTTTGAGCGAAATTTCCCCCCCACCCCTCGGATTTCGTACACCCCTTCGGACATCATTGGTAACAGACGCGTGCGCCTGGGCCACTTATACGTTTGTGACTCACTCTTGGGCACATTCAATGCCTTATTTTGGGTTTATATAGACATTTTCATTAATCCATCTATGATATTTTCTTCAAAATTATACTCTAAGAAACACATTATATAGCATGTAAACATGAATTTGTTACTCATTCACTAAGAGTGTCCCTCTAGTCTTAACGCCATAGTAATACTAATAGTACGTAATAATAATCACTCTCGGGCACATTAAATGTCTTATTTTAGGGCATTTCATTAATCCATGATATTTTGTTCAAAATTATATAAGAAACATGTTACGTAGTATATAAACATGCAATGTTTATATACTATCATGGGGTGGGGGTCAGGTGGAGGGTAAACATTACGTTTTCTCTGGTCCAGCTTCAGAAAAAACATGTATGAACCTGAGTTGGACCAGTAATCGCCCTTGATAGTACATAAGGCTTTTGTTTACAATTCTCGGCATGAATTATTCATCACTTCTCCCTTTGTTTATGATGGAATCTGAAGGTAGCTGTTAGAAATGATTAAACTCAGTGAACATAGTATGTTGATGGTAATAATATGTCTGTAGACCGCAGTGTATGTAGCCAGTAGGTATACGCCTGGGATGTAGTCTGTCTGGAACTACAAATAAATACTACTCACCAACAAGAGTCTTCAATAAAGGTATGTAATGTTCATTTATCATTAAAATTAGTCATTTATATTTATTTCTCATTGTTTTCTGTATGTAAAACTATAGTTATTCTCTATACAAAGTATTTTTTGTTAATATTTTTGGGTGTCTGAAACGGATTAATTGGGTTTACATATTTCTTATGGGAAATATTACTTTGGTTTTTGGCCATTTCGGATTTCAGCCAACCTTCTGGAACGGATTAATTACGAAAACCGGTGGTCAACTGTATTTTTTTGTTAATTATACAGGTCCTCCATCACAAATCCGGCATCATTGTCACCTGTAGTGTGCCAGATTACTGAGTTTGCCGAATCACAGAGTGGTTAGGTTAGAATGCACATAATAAAATTAACCAACTTGACTTACACAGTTCATTGAACATCGGCAAAAATTGAACATTTCCGCTACTTTGAGCTCAATTTCAAGGTACTTTTCGTCATGAAAGCAATCAAAATCATGTCTATTTCTGTAATATATCTTCCATTCTATCAAATGCGTCCAAAAAAATGAAAATACAACCATAAAAACCATGCGAAAATATACTGCAAAGAGGCAGCCAATGGCTGAGAAGTTAACTCCCTTATTTATCGTCCGTCTTTTTTATTTTTGTTGTACGTTAAGAAGCATCTTTCCATCATACACTGCCCAAGTTTCAATGAGATAGCCCAACAAACAACCGAGAAAAAAAAATCACTTACCAAAAATCATATATGGCAAGCCCAAGCCAGGTACTGGAAATAAGTCACTTTGTCTGACTTTTCTGGGTTATCCCAGGTTCTCTATACATACACTGATATGTATGATAATCTATGTAACTGTATTTGCATAAACCTGAATAAACTTATTTACTTCTAGTCTGTCAACATGACTGTCAACTAAGTACAAGAAACTGCCCATTCACTTATTTCAACTACCCAATAAAGTGGTCAGAAATTGGCAATTTGGCTGATTTCACACAAATTTCAACAGATGCCAATTTCAAAATAGGATCCAGAATAAACAATGCAGACATTCCTGGCACTAAAATAACATTTTCTCTGTTCATTAGTCACGGCTACAGGCCCCTCTTATATTACTCTTGCTTTTCATTTGGAATTTTTATTCACAAAAGATAGAAGATTTACGGTTATGCAGACTGCTGCATTATTGTAATAATTGTATAAATAATGTCAAGCCATTCTTGACTCCGTATTGGAATTTAGACTGGCAGGCGGACAGGTATTGGACGGTGACGTCATTTGTTTACTCTTGAGCTTCGCTAAAGAATAGAACATTTCCGCTACTGTGAGCGCAATTTCAAGGTACTTTTCGTCATGAAAGCGATCAAAATCATATCTATTTCTGCAATATATCTTTCATTCTATCAAATGAGACCAAAAAAATGAGCATATAACCATAACAACTATACAAAAATACAGTGGACCCCCGGTTTACGATCAGCTCCCAATGCGACCAATTATGTAAGTGTGTATTTATGTAAGTGCGTTTGTATGTGTATGTTTGGGGGTCTGAAATGGACTAATCTAATTCACAATATTCCTTATGGGAACAAATTCGGTCAGTTCTGGCACCTGAACATACTTCTGGAATGAAATAATATCGTAAACCGGGGGTCCACTGTATACCGCTAAGGGGCCGCTAATGGCTGAGAAGTGAGCTCCGGAATTTATGGTCTGATTTCTTTCATTTTTGGTGTATGTGAAGAAGTATCTTTCCATCATACATTGCCCAAGTTTGAATAAGATAACCCAACAAACAACTGAGAAAATATAATAATAATATCTTTATTTACTACACGTACATGTACAAGGTATACAGTCCTAGCTGACATCAGTGACATACTACTGTATAGAAAGCCGCTTGTTATGCTGAGTATTTCAAGAAAATTAGGTCAGTGTCCCAGGATAACACCCACACTAGTCGGCTAACACCCAGGTACCCATTTACTGATGGGTAAACATAGACAACAGGCGTAAAGAAACACGCCTAATGTTTCTACCCTGGCAGGGAATCGAATATTTACCAAAAATCATATATGGCTAACCCAAGCCAGGTACTAAAAACAAGCCCCGTTGACTTTTTTTGGGTTATCCTAGGTTCTCTACACATATGTTATGTGTGATAATCTATAGAGAGAAAATAACATTTTTGTTTCATGTTTATGGTGCAGTACGAGTGTATATCACAGTTAGCCCTGTGCTACACTCAGTTTTCTCTAATATAAGCCACCAAGACAGGGATAGGAGAATGATATTTGTATACCATATCCTCTTCATACCTCCGTCGAGCTGCCTGATGTTATGCCAAATATTATTTATTCTGGAGTATTTAACATGTTTTATGTTATTTATATTGTTTATTATGTCATATTAGATCAACTGTGATAGGCAAATAAGCTGTAGTGTTGATATTAGTGTAATAATAAAGCATATTCTCCTGCTTCATGAGACTGAGCTCATGACAACCGACAGTGGCTTCAAAGCCACCTTATCTTTAATGGATAATGTACTGTGTAGGTGCTTTACATAATGAGAAGCCTTTCTTTTATTCAGTAGAACCATGGCTAGGGCTAAAAGCAAGCAGGTTAAAACAATAAATGGAGAAAAAGAAATTGGAATTACTTGTGCAGCAAGTAGCACCACCAAACAGTACCAGCAGGTTGGTGTGGCAACCCTGGAAATTTGAAATTATGCTAGCCAAAATTAGTGCCGAATAACTGAAGGAACCGAATAACTGATTGCCGGATTTGTGATGGCGGACCTGCACTAAAAAAACCTGTTGTGAAAAAAAGGACAATTGCATAAGAACTGATGAATGTGATATTAATATCATTAGGACTGAGAATCTTAGCAGATACAAGTTCATCTTGTGATGAAGAGCTATTAAATTTCTCTCCTTATGACAACACTGCCTTCAGCAGCTCTAATACAATTAAGCCTTGGAAGTAAATCCATGTCTTATTTACTTTTTCCTGATTTTTTTTATTACAGATGCCAAGCTTGTGCCTTTAATAATATTGTATTTAATTACCACTTTCTCAGAAATAACTCAATTTAAATCTTAAATCCCTCCACTTGTGAATTATACTTTGCTTTTTAAAATTATTACAAATTAATAAAATATTGTAATAAATCAATTCTAACCTTTCCTTGAACTGCTTTTCGAACCTTTTCTCGTTGTTGCTCCATTCGATCTTCCTCCCTTGACTTGTAAGAGCGGACCAGCTTATCCCGCAGCATGCGTTCTTTAGATGCCAGCTTCTCCTGCAGTTTATGTTCCATTAACTAGGGTGAAAACTTTTCTATCTATATCAACTAACAGCACTAGATGAAGTAAATGCAATTTTTAATGCCTCAGCTAAAATATGTCATTAAATTAATTTTTCTTTTTTCAACAAACTAGCCATATCCTACTGAGGCAGGTGGCTCAAAAGGGAAAAAAACAAGTTTCCCCTTTTTAAAATTTACCCAAATATATAAGGAAAAGGGGGTTTCCCAAACCCCTTGCTCCGGGCCCTTTTAGTTTCCCTCTTATACACATTCCCTTTTCGGAGGAAGAACTGTTTTCCATTTTCCCCATGGAGTAAGAAAGAAATAAACAAGAAAAGAACTATTTGGAAAATAGAAAAAACCCAGGGGATTTTGTATATATGCTTGTACATTTTGTGTAGTGTGACCTAAGTGAAAAGTAGAAAGTAGTAAGCTGAAACCTGAAATTTTGGGATTTTTTAGAACGGAAAAAGACCCCAGCAACCTACTATCTTTGAAAAACAATTAAAAGTTTCCTTTTCCCACACTCACTGGCAAGACGGTAGTACCCCCCTTTAGAGGGTTGCTGTCAAAAAAAACCTTTCTCCCTTTACTTTTACAATTAATTATTATTATACTATGTAAATATAATTTTGGGAAAATCATTTAAAACCCAAAAGGGTTTAAAACACAGCGGGTTTTGGGAAAAAAGGTTTAAAGGGAAAGAGGGGGATTTCGGGAAGGGGAAGGGCACTCAGCTGAAAAGGATAAGGCCCTAGTTGATGAATCAAACCAGTGCTGCTAAAAAAAAAAAATTTTGCGGGCAATGAGGGAAGTGTTAGAGGTGGGCAAAAACAGCAAGTAGGGCAGAGCCTGAAGATGAACCCAAAGTTAGCATGCTTTTTGAACACACAATCAAGAAATCCCTTAAAACTTTTCAGAAAACCCCTGAAAATTTTTTCAGTGACAATAGGAAACTTAGTTTTATTAAAAATCCTTTTATCCAGGATTTGAAATTGAAAACACAGTGAACACTTTTCCCAAATGAGATTTTTTTAAACACCCTACAGTTTTTAGCCCCTAAAGCTCAATAAAAATTTATTGGATACACCCTTGTCGGAAAAAGTGGGTTTAAGTGTGTGGGGGCCCTTGTGGGGCCACATCGCCCCACCTTTAAATAAGTCCTTTTTTTTTTTTGACCCCTCATTTCTCAAGACTGCAAAAACCCCCCACCCCCCCTTCGGGGTGCAGGCATTGTATTTTCCCCACCTCAAGGACTAAAGTCTGGTTTAAAGGGATTCCCCTGAATTTTCATAAATGTTACTTGGGCTCACACCCAAACCCAGCACATCAAGTAAAAAAACTTTTTGCCTCCACACACTCCTGTTTGCCTGCTAAACACAACATGACTTTTGGGATTTTGAACCCCCTTCACATCCCAATACCTCCTTTATCCTCCCTCCCCCTTTCCTAGGTGACCCCCTCCCCCCCTTCCCCCCACTACAATTTTACATCTTCCAAATCATTCTTTTTTTGCTCCATTCTTTTAAATGAAACAAACCACTTCAAAAAACCCGCCCTCAGTCCTTTTAAGAATTTTTTTTAGAAAATTTAAATCTCCAAACAAAAAAAATTCCTGAATGAAATTCACCCCCATACATTGCCCCGAAAATCACCCTCCCGCGGCAGCCCCCTCCTCGCTGCAACATATAAAGCCCATGTTTTAAACACCCGTTACTTTTTGTGATGATACTGTGCTTATGGGAGTTTCTAAAAAAAAATTTCAAAGGTAAGTGGATGATTTTGGGAATTTAGAAAGTTAAAATTTAACATAGAAAAAAAATTTAAGGTGATGAGGGTATAAAAATGATTTAGTAAAAAAAAAATTGGATAAAAATTGGGGAGGAGGATTATGGAAGAATAAATGTTTTCAGATACTTGGGAGTTGACGTGTCAGCGATGGATTTATGAAGGATGATTTTTTAATCATAAAAATTTAAGAGGGAAAGAAGGTTTTTTGGGTGCATTGACGATATGGGATCAAACAACGTTTCTTGGGGGCCCAAAGAAGGTAATGTATGAAAGTTTTGGGAGTCCCCAACCACTTTTAAATTGTGGGGAACCCTTGGGGGTGGTAAATGCTGCAGGGGGGAAGGGTTTGGGAAGGCGGGGAGTTTGCCCCTGTTTAAGGGCAATGTGGGTGTAAATATTATCCCAAAAAAATTTCGGAGTGTGGAAATTAGGAAAAGGTGTGAAGTTAATAAAAGTATTAGTCAGAGGGCAGAAGGGGGTTTTGTTGGGGTTTTTTTTGGCCCATTTAGAGGAATGGACCCAAATTTGAATGACATGGAAAGCATTAAATCTTTGGGGGAAAGGGAAGGGGCGGGGTAGGGGTCTTTCCTGGGAAAGGGTTGGAGAGGGGGGGTTTAAAGGGAGGTTTTGTGGGCAAGGGGTTTGGGATTTCCCAGCCGTGCGTGAGGGTTTTAGTTTAGGAGCAAAAGGAGCGAATGGTATTTGGGGCCCTTTACATCTTTTGGGATTTGGGGGCAGGGAATTTTTAGTGAAGGGATTGGGGAAAAACCGGTTATTTTCATTATTTGGACTTGATCCGGGAAATGGGAAGTTACAATGCCGGAACTTTAAAGGAGGGGTTTTTTGGGTTTTTGGCAGTTTGGGGGGATAGGTGTATTTTTAAATGTGAAATGCTTCAAAAATGTTGTATTCGGAGCCCTCTGCAAAAACGGGATAATGTGTGGTGTGGTGAAAGTTTTAAAATTATGATGAAAGTATTTTTTTTTTTGGGGTTTTTCTTTTTTTTTGGGGTCACCCTCCCCGGGGGGGGAGGGCCCGGGACTTTTTGAAAAAAAAAAAAAATCACTATAATCTGATCCCTTTTCTTTTTTTTCCCTCTATGGATAATTTTCTTTGCTCCTAAGATGTTTCAATGCACCACCCCCCTTTTTTTTCCCCTTGTGAATTCTAAAGTTCACTTCATTTTTCACGCCCCATCCCCAAAAAGGGTCCACCCCCAAAATTTTGACAAATTAAATTTTACACCATACTTCCCCCCTTCCACCCGGTTACCCCAATCTCTCTTTTCCTAACTTGTTTGTTCCCCACATCAGTTTTACCCCCTTTCCTATTTTCCCATTTTTAAAACTTCGTTCTTTTACATACCCCCCAAAATTTCACCATAAAACCTTTTCAATTTCTCTTTAGAATCTCCAAAGCACAGTGTACCCACCAAAAAAACAACTATGAAAATTCCCCAAACTCAAAATGAATTTTCTTTTAAACCCACACCCTATCCCCCAAACACCCCACCTTTCCCACTTCATTTCACTTTCAAAAAATGTATGTTAAACCCCATGGGGGCATCAGGGCCTACTGTTACGGGAAAAAATAATTTTCCTCTTCCTTCATACCTAACCTGATTTCCCCGGGTCATCAAAAAAATTTCCCCAACTGCTTTAGAAAAACCTACTTAAACCTTTTCCCAAATACAGTTGCAACACCCCAAAAAATTTGGGCTTTTTTTCCCACCTTAATGTGCCCTTTCTAAATACAAAATGCAAAAAAAACTTCCTTCCTGTATCAAAAAAACAAATTTATCACATCCCTTTAAATTGAAAAAAATTGGGTCTCCCACATCCCTACCCTTTTAAAAAAAAAAAAAAAAAAAAAAAAAAAAAAACTATTGGTCATCTCAAATCCTGCTCTGTTTTACCCTATTTTTTTTTTTTTTTTTTTTTAACACATCAGCCATTAAATGTATAGGACCTTTGAACCAATTGAGAGAGTAATTGGGGGTAGGGGACCTAATGCAAAAGTAGGAGAAACTTTTAGGATTTTTTGGGGTAGGTAATTTTGGGGTGCCAGGTGAAAATTGAAAAAGGGGCCCCTTTGATTGAACTTTGTATAAAAAAGGGGTTTAGTTTAGGAAATTTCCATTTTTTTAGGAAAAAGGGATAAATTTAATAAAAAAAACAAGATATGATGTAGGGCCCAAAAGGGCAGTAGTTTTTTGGATTATGTATTGGGGGAGATAAAAGATGTTGAGTAACTTCCCGGATGTACCCGTTTATAGAGGGGGCCCCCAGATTTATCAGATCAAAAATTTTTGTTTGTAGCTACACTGAGAGTAAAAAAGGGAATTGGGGTACAAAGGGGAAAAGAAACATCAGGGAAGAGAGAGGTGAAGGTTTTTAAACTAAAAGAGGAGGCAGTTAGGGTAAGATTAAAAAAGCTATTTTGGGGGATAGAAAGGGGGTAAAGAGAGCATAGGCAATGGGGTTGAAGAAAGGATGGGGTAGGTTTTTAAAATGTAGTGTTGGGGTGTTCAGCAAGGGGTTTGTGGGTTTCAGGAAGGTGGGTTCGGGAGGGAAGAGGACGATTGGTGGGGGGAAAGTGTGTAAAGAGAGTAGTAAAAGGGAAAAAAAATTTGATATGGGGGAAGCTTTTAAAAAAGTAGAAAAGGATGCAAGGAGGGGGAAAAGTATATGGAGAAAAAGAGGGGAGGTTAAAAAAGGGTTGGGGAAACAATGTAAAAAAAAGAGCAAATGAGAAGGGGGGTGGATGTTATCAACAAATTTTGTTTTAAAATAAAAAAAAGTTTTTTGGGGTGAGATTAACAAGTTAAGGGAAACCAGGAACAAATGGATTTGTCAGTTAAAAAAAGGGAGGAGAGTTTTTAAAAGGGGAGTTAGGGTATTGGGGGAAAAAGGAGGGAATATTTTGAGGAAATTTTTAAAATTTTATGAAGATAGGGAAGCTGTGGTTTTGTGTATAGGGCAAGGAGGAATAAACTCTTGTAGGAGTGAGGAAGAGCAGTTTTTGAGTGTGGGGGAAGTTTGTGAGGGGATAGGGAAAATGAAAAAGGGGGGAAGGCAGCCCGGGGTTGTTGGGGAAAAATAGAAATGTTAAAAGCAGGTGGGGGTTAGTTTTTTGGGGTGGTTGGGCAATTATTAAAAATGTATGGAAGAGGGTTTTAAAGGAAAAGGGGGTTGGCAGAGAGC